GAAAGAATATTTATACATACTTGAGTTAGAAAGTAATCAGTATAAAATTAGGTGAGTAGATTAAATAAACACTTGGTTTATTTTCATAAAAAAAAGATATCAGAAATGCTTTTTGAGAACCCTGTGTTTAGCCATTAGGTTACACTTCTATAAAAAGTTTTTCTCCTAACATGGCTTTCATGAAAAGAGCATGCCAATTGCCATGAAATGTTCTATTTTCAAACTACATTAAAAGCATTTGACTTTGTGAATTTGGGGAGTTATTATGTCAATCACAGATTTAGAGCATCTAATAAAATTAATATTGGAAAAACTTTATTTAGGGTTTTTATTTAATAAGCCAGTTTTCTTTTCATTATTTTTGACTTTGCTAGCAATAATTTTTATTTCCTTCAAGATTTTATTCTCCCACTAAACAGTATTAAAGAAATTGAAGTAAGAAAGCTTAAAGATCTTTTATTGTATCTTTTGTGAGTGATTTGATTAATTGATAAAAAAAAGCTCTGTTATTTTCCTAATAAATTTTCAAGTTTTTTCAAAAATAATTATTTCTTTTTAAAATAATAAAATATGAAATTATACTTTAAATTTAAAAAATAATTAAAAATTAATATAAAAAATAGTCCTTTTTTTTATTAGTAATCCAAAACCACCCATACCATAATCCCCATCTCTCAAAAATTGGGCCATCTGTCCATAAGTGGTCATCCCATCATTGTGAATGTAATTATTTTGATGTTGTGGAAGGCTTAGTAAAGATATTTATTGAAAACATAAAGTTTGAAAACAAAATTTTGCAAAACATAAATATTATGATGTTTTACTTCTTTTAAATTAGCAAGCTAAAATTTCTTTATAATAACTATATTTGTTTTTATTATAATTTACTATAATTATTTTCTTGATTAATATCAAATATCTCAAAATTTCAGGAAAAATAAAAAATCAGATTCTAATTTAATAGATTAATTAAAATAATACAAAAGTGAGAATTTCAAAATATTTTTTAAAAAAAAATACACTTTGTAAGGATCAAGTGTAAGGCTACAATACCGTATACTAATATTAGCATAGTAATAACCACAGGTAACAACCACAAGTAAAAACCATAAAAGCCAAGTCAAAATACATTGTAAAGTATGTGAACTCCCTATGTACGAAGTACTAGCAGTCTCTATGCACTCACAACTTTAAAAATTTACTTAATACAATTCTCAAGACATTCTAAATAACAAAATTATTTAAGAATTTATTTCTTTATAATTGGAATTATTACTTTTGTTATAAGTATAAAAATTAAATTTCTTGCAAGCTTTATGGACATCATATATATACACATACACATACATATATATACATATATACATATATTTAAAATAAATTTAAACTTGTAATATGAGTGTATGGAACATGGAAATGGTATACAGAAATGTGTATATCAATAAGCCCAAAAACCCTAACTTATAAATTAAAACAAATCCAAGGGCTACTAAAATCCCACTATGCTAATATTAGTATATGATATTGTAGTTGTACACTTGGACCTCACATCATCCCTTCTTCTTAAAATGATGGAAGATTGTTAAGGTTCTTTCGTGGATGGGCTGGGATCTAGAGGAACATCAGAAGGAGGCATTAATGGATCTATATGTGATGCCAATTATTCCTAATCCTTTTGTACGAAGTGTTTTAACCGCTGCACATGCACAATTTCTGAAAGATCAACTTGCTGAACATCATGTTGAACCTCATAAACTTGTGGTCCCACTTGTCGCAACACTTGATACAGCCCTTTCCACTAAGCAAGGAGCCCTTTAGATAAACTACATATCGTAAAATTGGGAAAATAAACTAACATGAAGTCATCTATTTTATACTCCTTTGATGGATGATAATGGGAGTTGTAGTGCCATTGTTATCCCACTTGTATGTGGCCTAAGTGTTTGGCAAAATTTACTTGGACAAGTGGAAGAATGCTAATCAAATACTAATCCCAAGATTTAGCATCGGAAGCTCATGGTAATTGTAAAGGTAAACTTTACTCTATTGGTAGAATTGGATTATAACCATATAGGAGTTTATATGGTGGAACACTAATAGAACTTTGCACCCCTGTGACATATATATACTAAAGAGACAACAAATAACCTCAATCAAAATGATACATCAGTATTCAATCAAATATTAATGTTCTTTTTCAAGCTTCTCTTCCTTTTTATCTCTCTTCTCATATTTCTAATGAACATGTTATTCTAGCACAATTGCATAGCATCAAGTAATTGCACTAATTGCTACTCTAGAGTTAAAGGGGGAGGAGGTTATTACTTTGCCATTAAGAGGAAAGAGCGAAAGAGAAGAAGGTGAGAAAAGTTATATGAAAAGGGAGATCTAAACAATGCAAAGGCTAGATTTAAATTAGAATCCCAAATCTAAACATTCCTTGGGGATAATCAAAGTTACCCCTCAACTCCACTAATGTGAGTATATAAGACCTATCTATCGCAAATGTGATTACAGGTATTAAAAGTTACATATTAATTCTTTATTTACTGCCACGATTGTAAAAGATTGATATTGTTGGGGTTCTCACTTTAGCTATTGGTAGCTGTATTAATTAGCCTAAAGACCCTAGAGTGAGTGGTTCAAATTGAAATCAATCTGATAACTACCAAAATCCCACTACACTAATATTAACATATGGCATTATAGTTGTACACTTAGACCTCATAGCAAGAAATTTATTTTAGATTTAGATTATATGCATAGCTACAAATTTAAAACTTAAGCAATGCATTAACAAATCCTTCATGAAGTCTTTATTTTTAGAAACTCTATGTATATATTATAAATTTTATAGTCTTCTTTAAATGAATTTTGGTTTCTTCAAATCTATTTATTTCCAAATGAACATCTTTTAGAAGCTAATTTACCACTAATGTTAAAAATAATAATAATAATAAATATATAATATTATTTTGATAAATACTAGGCTGTAAATTTGATTTATGTGAGTGTTATATCCAAAGCTCAATCTAGCATTGATCTCATTTAGCTGATTCAAATGTAATTAAAAAATAAATGGAATACAATTATATAGAAATAGAGATTAATATTCATTTACAACCATTCAATGTTGCTTTCCTGGAGGCTAGGTTGTGCTATTTTACTTGTGTGCAAACTCATCTTTGAAAGAGTCTAGAGTCTCTATTTATTACTTATATGGAAGTCTTAATTATATCTCTAGCCATTCCTCTAGTTTATGATTGTCTGCAATGTATATTAATTTTTTCAATTTTAAAGACTTTGCATGTTAAATTTTGTGCTTGATTTGTACAAGCTCAATGGAGAGCTCTTCATGACTCATCCACTTAAATGATCCACCTAGATAACCACAACCACTTCTCCTACACAAAACTTGCAAACTCCTTTTTGTATAATGCACTTGTTTTATCCAACTCGACCATAATATTTGCACTTGAACTTTTCCTTTCTAAGTATACCACAGCTTGCAAAACTTGTATTCCGGAAGAGTTTGTTCCACCCTTTCTACAGCATTTGTATAAATTTCCCTATATTGCTTATTGAAAATCCAAATGCTAGAATCCTCAATTCTAAATTATGAGCACTTGCCTATTGATGCCTTTAGCTCTTCCAAACATTACATTGCTCTTGCTTCCAACTCAAGTTGATTCTTTGGTATTGATGATCTTGTATTTTGTTCCTTTTACAAGATCCTCAAGCAGTACCTTATGACCCTAGGATCATATTTGGCATGAGATTCAATTTTACACCAAGAGTTGTTGAGCACACAAGATCATCTTTTTTTTGCATGTGCTTGACAGCTCTTTCATTGTGTTAGATCATCCCAGTTAGTTTAAAAATTTCGAAGTACAAAGCTAGGAAAATAGAAATACATACACATCATGTATTGATGGTAGTTGATAGCTAGTGAGTAGAGATGTCAATGGTTGGCAGTTGCTTGTGTTTTATTTTTACAACATTATGATTCTTGAATTCTTCTAGCCCAAGTTCTTCATTTAAATGCAATTGGCTCCTTCATGGATGCCAGGAATGTCACCACTTTGGATCAATCACCCCTCAAATTTGCAAAGGATAAGGAACTCCTTTCAAAGGATCATGCTGAGCAATATGTCTATGCTAAGAGGCAACTTTTTCTTTTCATTGTTCTAGCATATTTATATGATGCTAATGCTGAGATCTGCACCTAGAGCATGGCAGTATGGGGAATTGCCTAACCTAGCTGAGCTTGGTAGGATTTGAACTACTGTAAATTTATATTAAACCTTGCCAACCATATTTCAAAAAGTTGTATAACTTTCACATTTGTAAAAACTGGTTCAAAAGAATTTAGTTATGAGGTATTATTTTGTGCTGTATCATACATTCACCCAAAGGTGCTAAACCTTGTACCCCAAAACCGAGACTACTCTATGTTCTAGACGTTTTTGCGAAGTAGAGTAATTCCAGATGCATCATGTGACTGTGCTTTCTTTTCTTGTGAATGTGTAGGTCCTTATGAAAGATCTATAGCCACAATGACCAAGATAGATATTGTGGCAATCAAGGAGCTAAAAAAGCAAAATTTTTGCAAAGCAAGTAGAGACAAGATTTTTGCAATAGATTTCTAATCCAATTCAGTGCAAGTTATTCTTCAAAGTTGACGAATCTAGATCTCTTGCACAGTCACTAGTTCTACAGGTGAACAAGTGAGCAGCAAGTAGTCACCTATGACATTTATGTAATATTTGTGTACAAAATTAAAAAAATCTAATCATATTTATGACTTATTATATCCTTTAGAGTTAATGTGTGCAATAAAACATGATAATGACCATGTGGTTTTAAATATCTAACAACAAAAAAGAAGAGAAATCATTCTACGACAACTGAGTTGCTAAATGAAGTTCTCGTCTTTGCCTCCCAAATAGCCGGGTAACAGCAGCTGGTATGCCTCCTGGACACACGAGCATTGCTCGCAGTCACCGGCCAGGCAAGACATCGGTGCGATGCGGTAGATGCTCCAAGGCATCAGCACCAGAGCTCACACCCAGTAGCGCATAGAGATCTGCTGTCACACTACATGCGTAGGAGGAGAAGGAGCAGCACGTGACCCCAGCCTTGCAGTTCCTCCTCCTCTCAGCTTCTTGCAGTGCTCTGGGAAGACGAAAAGGGAGAGATCCTTGCAAAAAACTAGAGATCCTTTTTCCGCAGCTCTACTTTATAAAGGCCGAAAGATTCCGTGAATATACCTATGGGTAATCTAAATAAAATCGCACATTTTATATTATCGGATTTCACGGATAAGCACACATGTTGGACACCAACACGTGAGATCCGGAATCTCGAGTGTCCACGGCGAAGAGATTCCTGGCCGCGCCGCTGGCCCGCCCGACGTCTGCATGGAGCCGGCAAGCGCCCAGCAGCGCGCCCCACGTCTTGGCGTGCGGTTCGTAGGGCATGGTCTCCACCAGCTCCTCCGCTCGCTCCAGATGCCCGGCCTTTCCCAGCAAGTCCACCACGCACAGGAAGTGCTCCGCCAGCGGCGCCACCCCGAAGTCCTGTTGCATGGAGCGGAAGAAGGCGCAGCACTGCGGGACGCGGCCGATGTGGGTTTGAGCGACGAGCCCGCTCAGGCAAGCCACCTGGTCTGCGGGGAATCCCTCTGCCGCCATTGCCGCAAACATCCGGACACCTGACTCCCCGCGGCCCGTCTGCGCGTAGCAGGAGACTATGGCGCTCCACGAGACTCCGTTGGATTCTGGCATGGCGTCGAACACCCGACGCGCGCGATTCAGATACCCCTTCTGGGCAAGTGCTGCCATTAGCGCATTCCAGGTCTTGGCGTCTCTGTGCGGCATTGCGTAGACGAGCGATATCCCTTCGCCTATGTTTCCGTTTTGCGCGTAAGATTGGACCATGGCCGTGTAGGAGATTTGGTCTCGATCGGGCATGTCGTCGAACGCTTCCCTGGCGTCTTCCAGATGCCCGCAAATGGTATATGCTGCCGCCATTGCGTTCCACGCTGCCTGCGTGTGCTCCGGCATGGAATCAAAACAGCATCTTGCATTCTCCAAGTTGCCATTCTCCGCGAACCCGGATATCATCGTTGACCACGACACCAGGTTCCGCTCTGGCATATGCTCAAAGAGATTCTCCGCCTGAGGCATCTGCCTGGCCTGGGCATATGCAGACATGAGCGAGCTCCACGTCAGCACGTTTTTCTCTTCCATGAAATCGAAAACCTCCTGGGCGTGGGTGGGCATTCCCGCCTGGGAATACGCGGTGATCATGGCCGTCCCCGCCACCACATTCTTGTCCGTAATCGAATCGTAGACGTCCCTTGCTGCAGTGATGTGGCCACGGTCAGAAAGGGCCTGGAGCATCACCGTGCACGAAGCAGCACTCCAGTCCGGCATGGAATCAAACACAGCTATCGTGCTCGCGAGGTCGCTGTTTTGGTAGTTCGCAAGGAGAATTGCGATCCAGCTTATCACGTCATGCTCTGGCATGGACCGGAACACCACCCAAGCGTCGGAGAGGTGCCCCATTTGGGCATAGGCCTGCAGCATTGTCGTCCAGGTAGCAAGATTCCAATCCGGCATGGATTGGAATATCGACTTTGCGGCCTCCAATTGCCCTTCTTGAGCAAATGCGGTGATCACCGTGTTCCACGTAAATACGTTTCTCTCCTGCATGGAATCGAGCACATCAAGTACACCTTTTAGATCATGATCAGTGGCGTAAGCAACCAACATAATGTTCCACGAGATCAACGTCCAGTGTGGCATTCGATTGAAGAGATTCTTTGCTTCTTCCATATGCCCTGCTTTGGCATATGCTGTGATCATCGCGTTCCATGTCACGGCGTTCCTCTCGGGCATTTGGTCGAAGAGGCATTTTGCACCGTCGATGCTGCCTGCCTGGGCGTAAGCGCCAATCATGGCCGTCCACGTGTAGACGTCCTTGTGGGCGATGCCATCGAAGACCCTGCATGCCTCGTCCAGGCAGCCGCATTTGCCGTAGAGGCGGAGGAGATGATCGTTGAGGAGCTTGTCGCGGGAGAAATCGCTGTGGAGGATTTGGGCGTGGATGCTCCGGAGCTTGGGCAGATCCCCGGCGCCGCACGAGCTGAGAAGGAAGACGAGGGCGGAATGCGATGGCGGTGGAGCTGCTGGAATTGATCGGAGAGACGCCGCTCTCATGAATCCTCACGATGCCGAAAACATCGAGAGAAGAAAAAATCGCGTCTTTTCGAAAGATCCAATCCGGTTTGGATTAGCGGAAAAATCCGGATAAGAACGAACGAGTGACAAAACAGATTTTCTATGGATTGGAACTCATTGATTGATCAATTGACTCAAAAGGGACTGTACATTTTTTGGCGGACGGACCCGGGAAAAGCAAGCGATGCGGTCGGAAAAATCTCACTTCCTTCTCAGCGATGGATTTGTTCTTGCTTCTTTTCGCAGTGATCTCTGTGCCGCTCCTCCCTCACAAAGCACAATTTGTACAAAAGAAAAAGTAGCAAAGAAAAAATTCCAGCTTCTGGTGGATGAATCGATCGAGCTCCAGCTTCAGGATTTGACGAGCATGACGATGCAGCGGCGGAAGATGTAGAACCTCGACCTTTGCTCCTTCAAGAGCGAGTAGAGTCGGCCGCATTTCAAGCCACCGCCGCCGCTCGACGAGCGCGGCTCGCCCAGTCGCCTCACGGCATGGCCCGGCTTGTTGAGGCACTGACCCATGATCTCGATCGACGATCGAATTGCTTGTGAGCTACAAGTATATATAGCGAGCTAATGGATGGATCACTGCACTTCCCAAATCAAATCTAACCTCGCCCCGCTCAAAATCACAGAAAATGGGGAGCCAAGCGAAATAATTCGCCGAGCAAACCAATCAAACAAGGTGTCGGAGAGGAGCGAAGAACCGTAGAGCACTACTTTTTTGCAAGTTGCAAGATTGCGATGGACCAACAGAACGGGGCCGGAGGCCTCCTTTTATATCCATAGCCGTCGGAGAGGTAGAGAGGAGAACAAATATTCCGTCCAACGATTCCGTCAAGTGGGTCACAACCCACCTCTTCCGTACCAGCATTTCGGCCCATACGGCCGCGTGACGTTGTGTTCATGTGGCCTGCCGACGCTGTTGTTTCCATCAGCTTAGCTCACTAATCAAATAATTTTTAACTAATCCTTTTGTCAACCCAGCGATCGTGTCTCCTGTTTCGTTTTGTCCCTGCATCGCATGCCGCGTTACGTGTGGAGGTCCCATTGGCGGTGAGCCGTATTTTATACGGGGCATTCATACGCCTGGCCTCCAAAGACAAAACAAAGCCAAAGCGCCCAAAGCGCAATTGCCAAAGAGAACCCGTCATCATTCCCTGGCCAAGGTTGTCAAGATATAAAACCATTCATTCCCATCTCTCGATCATAGCTAGCGTTGTTTGTTTCCTTCGCACTGATATATTATAATATTTGTTATGGTTTTACATTGCGCTAGCTTCCATAAAGGAATCTTTTTTCTAATAAAATCAATGTCTCTCTCACTTTGATCTGTGCATTTTGTGTGATGATATCACACACACATACATGGTACGCACAAGGGGTGCGTTTCCATTCCACGCCACATGCAAGCCACCAAAGCGCGAGAGAACCATCCAACGCTCTCTTTTGTTTAAATCCCAGGCGAAAGAAAGCACGGGCCAAATCTCATACGATCCTGTCCGCTGGTGGCTAGCGGCGAGTATAGTATACTACTCGTACTCGTATAAAACTAACTCGTAGGAACTTTCATTCCGCTTCGTCATAGATTTGTTTTGTGCCGCTTGTTCTAGAGCTTGTCAGCCGTTATTTCCAGAAGAGTTCAAGGAACTCGGACCACTTCCATTGCTATCTTTCCTCGGATGATCCTTGGATCGCTGTCCTGTTCTTATGCTTTTTTAAAGCTTGCCACTCGAGAGAGCTCACGGATCGATGAAAGGGAGCTTATTAGCGAGGCAACATCGCAACTTCGTTGCCCCAGATCTCGGTGATGTTAACTTAAACGCAAAAAAAACGTTTGCTTATTTTACTCGGAGGTACAATGCGGTGGCTTGCCACCATTGGTCTCCAGTCACGGCTGCGAGAAAAGAAGTGGTGAACTGGTACAATGTCTCGCGAGATTGTGTGATAAACCTCGGAGTTCTCAACGATGCGTCGGCTAAGTGCAGTGTTGCGGCTGATTCGGATCTGCGAACGAAATCATTCGTCTGTATGCTAAAGATGACTTTGAAACCCAAAACCACACCTCTAATCGAGGACGAGGCGAGAACGCCATCCTTTCCTCATGTGATGACCGTTGGCTTGTCCCGGCCAGTGAAATCTTTCAACTTCGAGACCTTCAACGCGATCTCTGAGAAAAACAAAAAACATTGACAAAGATTTGAGATCAAGCAAAGCGACCAGCACGTTACCTATCAGGGGTCTCAGCGCCTCCTGGGCATCGAGATCGTGCTTTGACTTGTCCGTCTCATACTGTTCCACGTAGAGGCGTATTGTTGCGCCTGCCGACCCGGTTCCCTACAGGAAAACGAGCGTGGTTTTTTTAATGAGAAGGAAAGCGAGGCTGACACTTACTGATAAACGGAAAATAAATCGCGAGCCGTCGCTGAAAATGAAGCGGATTCCTTGCTTGGAAGATACGCTCCCGTCGATCTGTCATTTCAAAAGTGTCAGCAGGCAGGCAGATCGTGTGAGCAGAAAATAAACATAAATAAAAAATGAATCAGTTGTAGCACTCACCGGATCAACGTATTTGAAGTCGTCCGCAAGAGCAAGAGAATATTTGCCTGCAAGAAGCGTTAAGGGTTTGAGAGGTGTCTTCGAAGCCACATCGGAATACCATATTTATCTCCTTTCTTGCTCTTTGCAATAAGACTTCGAAGATGATCAATCATTTTGTTGGCCGAAGCAGCATCGCATTCCTATAAACGAGCATGAGACAATTGATGATCTCGACGTTGAGAATTCAAGGATAACCTCGTAATCATATCTTGAAAAGAAGTTGCGTCCATAATTCGCCCAGTATTCCCTGGCAACATCCTCAACTGTCACAAGCTTGTCACCGACCTTTTTTCCTTTGTTTCTGTGAGCCAATATGGATAGCCATGCCAGAATTGCCCTGGTTTAAAAACCGTGCAAGATGTAACTACTGGTTACATCATTTGCGAAATGACAGAAGCCTACCAGATTCCATCCTTTTCACGAATATGATCAGATCCCGTTCCAAAACTTTCCTCTCCGCAAATCGACAGTTTTCCCGCGTCCATGAGATTGCCAAAAAACTTCCAGCCAGTTGGAACCTTCAACAATTTTGCTGTGTGAGCCATCGCTCATAAAGTCGGTAGCGTCCCGTACCTCAAAGAATGGAACTTTAAGCTTCTGTGCAACTCTGTCCAACGCTGCGCTTGTTGGCATTGAACGTGCCAGCCCCTGTAGAAGTAGAAATGATGAGAATAAGTACTCTCTAAAGTTACCAAAAATCAGCAAACCTTTATTCCCTTCTTGAAGTATGGAATGCATGGCTGAGCATTGGCTGCAATCATGGCAACAGAGTCCGAAGGAGTGACAAAGAAATTGTTGCCTAGGATCATGTTCCGGTCTCCATCACCTGCATGCTTTATGAATTCAAAAAATCCGCTCGCAATAAAGTTTTAACTCTGCTTTACCATCACTTGCAGCACCAAAGTCTGGTGCATCCGGACTAAACATTAGTTCAACCAGTTCCTCGGCATAACTGAAAGCATGGCGAATAAGCAGCTTCATTGTGAACTAAGTGCTTACGTAAGATTAGGATCAGGATGGCCGCCTCCAAAGTCCTCCTTAGGAACACCGTTATTTACAGAACCCTGCGGAATCCAAAGAAAACATGACTGTCAGTTGCATTCCTAGACATACCTTTTTAGCTCCTAAGACGTCCACGAAAATTGGTTCAGCATACGCTCCAGTTACAGCATGCATAGCGTCAAATTTGAAACTGCACCTCATAAAATTCAACAAAGGAGATGCTGGCAGAGGAGAGACGGACCTGAAATCGGAGCGTGACAAGAGACTTTTGAGAAGTGGAAAATCGAATACGCTCTGCACAGACAAAAGCGAGAAGTTTCAAATCTAGTTTGGGCAGTTTGTTCTTGCCTTTAGCAGCTCGAGATAGTCAGAAACAGGATCGATGACTTCTACAGTGAAGCTGCCAAATTTATAAGTCCCAAGTTTTGACAAATTTACATCAGGAATATCCGCCATTTTGATTTCTTTAATCTGCAAGGATGATATGAATGCATGTAAGCAAAAATAAACAACAATCATACAGATTGGGTGTTTCCATAAATCTTGTCCGTTATGACCTCAGGTGCAGGCTGACCGCTGCTATAATTGAACTGAACGAAAAATGCGAGTTAGCAGAAGCCCAATGATCGTATCAGAGAAATTAATGAGCAAAAAACCTTAATACCCCAGTCGTTCTTGGGACCGCCAGGGTTGTGGCTCGCGCTCATGATGAATCCTCCATTTGCCTGAAACACTGAAAATCAGAATCACTTCAAGCACATACTAGAAGCCTTACTTTTCGTTTCCGTATGACAGCAGAAACGGCGGGAGTAGACATAATTCCATCCCTGCAAGCTCCACATCAAGTTACAAACAAAGAGATACGACGTAAATTACCTTGCGACAAAAACTTTTTTTACTCCATTTCCCGCTGCGATCTTCATAATTATCTGGAAACATAACAAGCTTTCAGAGCTTATGATTTATTTGACATGCAGTATAGCTACCTGAGCTGCTGGCTTGTTGAAATAACGGCCATCACCTCCAAGCACAAGAGTCGCTCCTTTCACGTCCGAGGATGAAAGGGAGTTGAAGAGCGACTTTAAAAGGAATATATGTCAATGTAAAAGCTCTGTAAGCAAAATGCAAATACCTGTATCCAATTTGAGAGGTAATTTTGTTCCATAAAAACTTTCACCTGATCCAACGGAGTAAGCAACAAAAACTTTACGACATGCTTTACCTTCTTTCTTAATCCACTCGTTCCAGTTTTCTGCCCCTCAATTGGCTTCGTTGGTACAGTTTTAACCTGTATCACAGCAAAAAAACTACGTGAAAAACGCGAAGATTTGATCCTTCACCTATATCCCAATCCCCATGGATGCATAATTCATCCCAGTGCTCTACTCTAGAACTCTAGATTCCCGGAAGAAAACACGTAGTCGCAATCAGGGAACCTTGAAACCTTCTGAGCCAGCCGCTCTGGTCCGCAATCTCCCATCGCAAGTAGAAATTTGCCACGGGCAGTTCCACATTTTGCTCCTGGAAAGAGACTCGCAGCCGGTGGAATCCCGCATTGTCTGGCACCACGACAAGGAGAAGGCCCCGGGAGCGGCACAACTAGAACTGCCAGTGTGCCGCATTGCGAATGACACAGATCGAGGCCGCGGCTTGACTGATCTCGCGGAAGAAATCTCCGACGCCGTGAAGGACGACGACGCCGGCAGCGCCGATCCCAGCGACGCCATAGCGGCCGCCATGTCCTGCGCCCGCGAAATACCTGAAGAACCCTAGATTCCCGAGCCCGGCATGTCAGCCTCTCCCTGTTTCTCCCATTGATGAATAACAAAACTGAAGAACATCCATTATAAACCTTGGCCGTTGGGGCAATCAAATCCAACGGTGGCACGGGCGCGATCGGACGACCAGGATCTCGTCATCGCTATACATTGGATTGTGAGGTGGCAGCGTTTCACGGGTTATGGGAGACACACATGCAAGCAAATCGCAGCCGTTGGGTTTTCGGGTTACTTACATCATAGCCGCTGATCTTGTGGCCCGTGCTCTTCATCCTCCTGGAACAATACACCGCAAACCTGTCCATTTGGAAATGGATCTTCGCCATAGCCATCTCTCCCATGGACATCTCCATTTTAGGTTTAGCTCCCAGATCTCTTTTATAGGCTTTGGTTCGTTTAGTAGAGTACACTCGAGCAATTGGGGATATCCCAGAATTGCGTTGTGGGCGTATCGGCATATTCTACCTCCATTTGAAACAGACGGCGGGGATTGTCCCATTTTGAGGGTTTAAGGCAGAGGATATTCTTTTTCATCTCCTTGCATTTTTAGGGTTCTTTTGAGGCTATGGAGGCAGTCCAGGAGCGCCTGGGGAAGCTGGACGCGGGATTCAAGCAATGGTTGAGGCAGCAATCTGCGCCCGTGGAGGTGGCAATCGTCACAGCCGGTGGCGCCGCGCAGGGCGGTGCGATTGGGGGGCTCATGGGGCGATTGACCGCGGATGCTGCCGCCGGCGCTCCACCGATGGGCAACCAGCTGCCGCAGACGAATCCACAGATGATGGTATGCAATCTTGTAGCGAATTTCGAAGGGAAACTTTTCGAGAGAATTTTCAGGCTTTTGCTGGCGGACCTTGGGCTCAAGCTCGGAATTTTGCCGTCATGTCTGGAGTGAATTCTGGGCTGACTTGCGTCATGAAACGCTTGCGTGGTGGTGTTGAGGATGCTCAAACCAGGTAAGCTTTTAGATGATTCTTTGTATAAGCTTGATACGAATGTTTCCCTGTTCTCCTGGCAGTATGGTGGCGGGATTTGGATCTGGTGCGTGCCTTTCGATCGCGAGCGGCATTGGAGGCGAGAATCCAGTGGCGTCTGCTGTCACTACTGGCTTATCTTTCGGCCTTATTCAAGCAGCGATGTTCAAGGTCTGTAAATTCTGCCGATTGGGAGTTTGTCATCCGTTCCTCTTTCCAGGTGACGCAAAAGTTTTACCAACCTCCGGGAGATGACATTCAATACCTGCGATCCAAGAACATGCTACGAGTACTTGGACTGGAAAAGTACGAGAAGAACTTTAAGAAGGGCTATCTTACCGATGAAACTCTTCCCTTGCTCACGGACAGGTCCGTCGCTACTCTGCCTATTATTTCTTGTTTCTGTGCTCATATCTCTTATATGCCTTTCAGTGCACTCAGGGACGTGAAGATTCCACCGGGACCAAGGCTTTTAATCCTGCACCACATCGAAAGGTCCGGCCGAGGTCATATAGTTTAAAATTCATTCTTCTCACGATCGCCCACTGCAGAAATCTAGACGTCGCGAGGAGGGAATAAAGGGAATACATTCTTGTACAATCACGATTTGTGCTGTGACGAGAGAAGTTTGAGGAACGCAAAGTTTTGATTTGGAGGAGGATAATTGTTTGTGGCTGGTTGGCTGATACACGAGCAAAAAAACTTATTTCACGGAGAAGCAAACAACGAAGCAAAGGATTTTCACGCCACGAATCACGATGGGCGATTAATTTGGAGGAGATCAATCGAAATCCTTCCTCCATCCATCGCTTGCATCGCATCAAAGAAGCAACAAAAACAACACGGAAAAACCTGAGAGTGAAAGACAGGCTCCATGAATGCGCTCCGCACGGCCCTCGAAGCGTGGCATTGAATGGCCAAGGCTGGAATTATTACCACATCAAGTTGTCAACTTTTAAAACGAGCTAGAGCTCGGATCAATGGCTGGATGGATGGATGGATGGAACCCTCCAATGAGGTAGCGTTTTACCTTTTTATACCTTACCCGGGGGTAAAAACGGGCAGGGATTTCCGCAACGGAATGCGCGATTCCCGGGCGGGAATGTGTCTAAGGTTTAGGGTTTATCAGATCTGTGCGCTTGTTTTTAGTCGCGTGTTTCAGCTGATTCGGTGCCAAATGCGAGGAATCTAGCAGCGGCGGCAGCAGCAAACGATTCTTCCGCCTCAGCAGATGCCAGTTCCACGATTCGCAGTAGCGGCGCCAGATAATCTTCGTGTTTCTCCGCATTTCTCAAGGTAATCTTCCCATTCGCGAATCGCGACGCCGAGAGCTGTGGTTGCGGGCATTGATTCTCGCTCTCTAGATTCACAAGGGCCCGGGCTAGATTGGTAAATCGTCCTCCAGGTACCGGACAGTGGTGGGAAAAAGAATTAAGAACAGGGAGATAGGGCTTGCTTGCGCTGGAGGCATCTGGTAGAATATAAGGCAGGGCAGGTGCTCACAGGATTCTTTCCTCTTCTTTTTTCTCCTTTTTTCTTTCTCTTGGGGGCTTGCTTTATGAATGTAGCCAGAGCTATTCCCGCTGTTAGTTCCTTGCTGCAGTACTACCGCGAGATTCAATGGGATTGAGTAGCGGCCTTTGTGGACGAATGGCAAGGCCACCAAGTTTTACTGCTGCTGCTGCTGCTATTACCATCTTCTCCAAAGAGGCAAGATCTGCGGCGACGTTACTACACTCTCCTGGGATCTCTCTCGGCTATGCTGGGAGGTCTGGCTCTACTGCTAGAAGCTGCTGGTAATGACGAAGATCAAGTAGAGCGGGATGGTGGTGGCGATGGAGCTTGGTGCGTAAAGCACCATCATGGCGACCCGAGAATCATGGACGAAGTGCAAAGAGGAACAAGATGGAGGAGGATATTTCTCTCATTGGTGGTGTCTGCCGGGGCGGGCATCGTTTTGCTCTTCATTGCCTTCGGCATTATAGTCTCTGCCGCGGGACAGAGACGACACCAGCGCAGTAGCAGTGGACAAGGCAGGCTTTCTCTTCTCGAGGAGAAGCAAAACTGTGAGTAACATCAGCTCTTTTGTTTTGAGTTTCGAGTCACACTCTACTGAAAGCTCTCCTCTTGTTTGTTAGCGTTTGTAGCAACTTGTCCGGATGGATGGCTACGAGGACCGGCTGATCGATGCTTTATGCTCGTCAACGCGAGCAGCACTTGGGAGGAATCCGAGACGAGTTGCCGGAACAGGAGTGGTCATCTGGCCTCTATAACTTCAGATGCCGAGGTCGCGTTTGTCAAAAGCCACTGTACCGGTGTCTTTGATCCGTGCTGGGTCGGGGCTGTGATATCCAACACCAGCCGGGGAGTTTTGTGGAGGTGGAGTGACTGTCACGTACGCTGGAATTTTTCCTTCGCTTCCAGCAATTGCTCCAGCTCGGGTTGCGTTAACTTGGGAGAATACTGCTTGTCTGTGTCAAGCATGCACGGGCTTGTACGTGAGAACTGTGGAGACAGGCATAGATTCGTCTGTGTTCTTGCTACGAAAGGTAACTCGGCAAGTTTGTATCGATTCCTTGTCTCTAAGCTTTTTTCTCTTGACTTGGCTTTAGAGGGCGAATGTATACGAGCTACAAACCGCAAAGCGTACCTCATCGTACTTATAGCCGTAAGCTGTTTGATACTTGTCACGGCATTAGCGATTGTCATCTGGCTTCTAGTCTATAGAAGGAAGAGGAGGAGGAGGAGATCGAGAAGAGCGCCGTCGTCTTCCATGGTGCCGCTCTCCTCGCTCAGACTATTTACTCTGGACGAGCTTAGGATCGCCACCAACAATTTTGGGATGGAGAACAGGCTCCGGGGTAGCACTTTCAAGGGGATTCTCTCCGATGGCGTTTTGGTGGCTGTTAAGAAGCTGGAACGATCGAGCTTCCAAAGCCGGAAAGAGTTTCTAGCGGAGATGAACCGGATAGCGCGGCTGCGGCATCCAAGTCTGGTGGCGGTCATTGGATGCTGCTACGATCACGGCGAGCGATACATAGCCTACGAGTACATCGCGAATGGGCCGCTCGACCTCTGGCTGCACGACCCCGTCAGGAGAGGAACGCTGGACTGGAGAACGAGGATGCAAATTGCGGTCACCGCTGCTCAAGGCATAGCGTAAGTAGTAACCTGGTTAGTTTCTCGTTTTCTTCGTTCTTTTTACGATTCAAGCGTTGCATGTAGGATAGTATTTCATCATATGCATCCGTTCTTTGACGATTCAATGTAGGATCCTTCATTCTTTGGTTTACTTGAGTATTGTAGCATCTGGTTTGACTGTTTTTCCGATTCGGTGATTGATCTTTGTTCATTTCTTTTTTCAGTACAAACCGCTGAGCGTGCCATGCTTGGCATCTAGAAAACTCCGGCTGGTTTCACTGATATGCTTGCGTTACTTCATTCCTTTTTCTCCCGTGTGGCACTAAGGACTTCGCTCTGGCAGATACTTGCACGACCAAGTGAAGCCTCATGTCATCCACAGGGACATCAAGGCGAGCAGCATTCTCCTCGACGACAAGTTCCACGGCCGCGTCATGGGAGTGGGCCTGGCCAGCGTCGTGCCGTGGGAGGCCGCCTACGAGCGCACGGTGGTGGCAGGGACGCACGGCTACCTTGCCCCGGAGTTCGTCTACCGCAACGAGCTCACCACCAAGAGCGACGTCTACAGCTTCGGCGTGCTCATGCTGGAGCTCATCAGCGGCCGCAAGCCGGCCATGCCAGTGGACGTGGTGGACTGGCAGACCATCTTCGAGTGGGCGACGCCACTGGTTCAGTCGCAGCAGCTGCAGGAGATCATTGATCCGTCGCTCACGTCGATTCCCGCCCCCGCACACATCCAGATGCTCGTGGATCTCATCTACAGCTGCACGCAGCACGTCGCGTCCATGAGGCCTCGGATGTCTTACGTTGTTCATCAGCTCGATCAGCTCAAGGACGTGGAGAGCTTGCAGCCCAGGCAGCAGCAGCAGCAGCAAATACAAGAGGTGGTTTATCCCGCGAGAGATGCTCGCTCCAAAGAGCCGGCTCTCATCACAGTCCAGTCGGAGATCATGGAGTCTCTCTTCTAGGCTCTCAAGGTTCCATTGGAAGAAAGAACTCGTTATGGTAGAAAGGAGAAACTTTGTGCTTGACTTTATCCATTAACGCCAGAATTGTCATTGTTTCCTCTCAAATACTTTTCTCTTTTTCTTTCCTGTGATTATTTACTTTGCAGTAACTCTAGTCCGCATGCAAGCTATGTGGCCAAGAACTTTACCATGCAGACTTCCGGTTAACCCTCTATAAATTCACCGCGCTCGCTCCAGCTCTCCATCAAGCTCACGAGTTTCATCTCATTCGCTCTGTTGTTTTCTCTTTGGTTTCGATTCTCTAACTCCTCCAAATGGCGTCGATCAAGTTCGTGGCTGCTGTCTTGGTGCTCATGGTGGTGGCCGCGGCGGCCATGCGCGACTGGAACGATTCCCCTCGCGACCGCCGCCGCGAGCGGGAGTGCCGCCAACTGCGCGGGCAGCTGCAGCAGTGCTCGCGCGACAGTCCCTCGCCCCAGTGCTGCAGTGTGGCGCGCCAGTACGTGGAGAGCAAAGGTTGCCGCCCTCGCGACATTGGAGCCGACCTCCTCCAGCACTGCCAGCAGCAGCAGCAGCAGCGAGGCGATGACGATGACGATCAGGAGCGCCGCCGCTACTACAACGACGACGATGATCGAGGTAAAGCCAGCTATAAACTTTCTTGGTCTTGATTTCTTCTTCATTGCTTTTGTTTTCCAGAGGTTCTCGACTTCATCCGTGGAGCATGGTTCTAGATCGTAGAGACTGTGGAGAGCATGAAAATGGATGGGAGCTGATCGCTCTAAATAAATGCTCAGACTTGGAGTAATAATAAGAATTTGTTTGTGTGACAGCTTTTTACATGAAATATATCTAGAAAAATTAGTCGAATAAACAAAAAAATGTGTGATAGAATAGAAGCTTTCACAAACAAGTAAAGATGCTTCGAAAAAAGCTATGTGATCATTTATGCAGACCATCTGAAGAGCATGAAAATGCAATTGCACGATAACTAACTGTAAGGGATGGTGGCACAGATGGTCAGCACGTATATTTCATCGCTGGTGCAAACTTGAGGTCGAGACATTGCTTTTTCAAAAGAGGTTTCTTGATTAGTGCTATATATTTCGATCAAGCAACATATTTCAGTTTAGGTTGTAGATGAAAACAATTCCCTCTCCTCTCGTTTTAAAGGAGCTCCTGAGTTTTAAAAACTCTCTTGTAGGAAACCAGGGTCTTATCTTCTGCAGGGACAGTATCAGTTCTTTGAATGAACTCTACAGGTTGATTCTGCGGATGGATTGTAGGTTAGCTTTAACGAAAAAGAGTAAGCATCAGGAAATCTGGGTGAGCAAACACAATTAAACACAATTATCATCGTTCAGATGGATGCCACACTAAGATGGAAACTTGGTTATTAAGGAATGGGAATGCAGCTGGAGTGTATTGTGAGCCCCAGCCAGAATGTAGATCACCATCACTTTCATGCGTAACAATTGCTGACAAGCTCCATCAATCACTGAAGAATTCCTAAAATATAGCTGATTGTCAATCACAGATAAATTCCTTGCATATAAAGTCCTACCATTAGTCACTAATGAGTTCCTTGCATAGAATCTGCTATGATTGTTGACAACAAGCTGATAAAGTTCAAGTACTCAGTACATATGCCTCCACAAAATGTCAATCTATTCGAATTGCTGGCAGCATCCACGGAAATTCGTCCAACAATTTCAGTGAGTGAGTCCCATACGTATGTGGGATGAAAATTGAAGGGGATAGAGGGATCAGGATCACAGATTAGAAACTGATTGCTTATAACTAAAGGCGCATTCACGGACAAAATGAACTTCAGCCGTTGTTAAACTCTAAATTTAAAACTGACCTTCCTACTGAAATTAGATTATATTCATTATACGATTAATATGCCCAACAAGGTGTAAAATACTAATTTGGAACTGTGACAGATTTCTGCGAAAGATGGTAAGAGGTTGAAGATGGTATGAGGGGGTTGACAAGCAACCCACAATAAAAGTAACACCAAAATAGTTGATACATCACAGTATAACATTTTGATTGGCTTAGTTTCATAATTCTAGAGATTTCTGGAAAACTATTTGGGTTAAAGCCTTTTCGTTTGCTTAAGGGCTATAGTATTACCCTTTTTTGTTAAAAGTAGGATTTAAAATCAAAATTTTTAGTTAATTAAAAATGGTTTAAAATACAGCATTAATCCATTTTAATTTGAGTTTAGTATGAATTTTATATTTTTTGGTTTGTTTAAGCAACCCTAAAATATGACAATATTCTACCATCTAACGGTTGTTATTCTTTTAGATTAATCTTCTATTTATTATTTATAATATAAACTTTCTTAAACACTTCTGATTAATCTTGCGTTTATAAATTATAGCTAAAGGTTTGAATAAGATTATTAGATTTAAATAATTTGTTGTCCGCTACATGCACGTTTAATAGTATTGCTATTCATTTTTAGTATTATTTATTAATCGAATTGATCAATCAGAATTTTATAACTAAACAGAATAAAAGTAAATGTGGTAATTAAAATCAAATATTTATTCTCTCTGGGCGTTGATTGACACGAACAACCCAAGGTTTCCCACTTGCACTCTGAACTTGAATTCTCCCAATCTTCTGGAGCGCAGCTGGAACATCCACCTCTCCACAGTTGGCAGCAATGGCGTCCAAGTGTGGCCGCAAATCTTCAAACAAGCTGTCCTTTCCATCGCTCATCTCAACCATGAAATTGGGAACCACCAGCCCGTTCCCCGGCTGCTTGTCAAAAGCCGTCTCAGTGTCATCAAGCCACACCACCCTCGCTAAATCGCGTCCGAATGCTTGGGCGCTCAGATCTTTGCTCCTGGTAGGGCACGATTCCCTGCTAAGCCTCTGGGAGATCAAAGTTCCCGTGGGATCCAGCTTGTCCGCTATGCCATTCACATAAGGCTCGTAGTTGTAGGAAAAGATGACAATCTCATACAGCTTTGCCATGTCTCGCAGGAATTTGTCAAGGCCCGGACGTTTGTAGACGGCATAGCCCTCAACTACCATGTCAGCTCCCATACCTGAGGAGTTTTTGAGCCTACGAGCGCAAATCAGCGTTCCATCGAGATCCAGCACCAGAGTTGGCTTGCCCATTGTTAGGTTTCTACCCAATAGAGCTTTGTAATTTATAAGGAAGTAAACCTTTTCTAATCCCTTTTGTTATTTGTTCTTCGCTGAGGCTTGCCTTCTTTCTCTGGCTCTTTTCTGCAAGCAAACGAAAGATTGGAAGATTTTGACATTGTAGCGGAGCTTACCCTGCAGTCTGCGACCATCTGCGGCATTCTCTGCATAATCTCGGCAGTGGTCTTCCTCCTGAAATCGCGAATCAAGCAAAGCATTTGGAAGAGTTTGATGCAAACCTCTCGGCAGAGATCCTGTCGCCCTTGTGACCCTTCATCACGTTCCTCATCTCCTTGCGTGGCTTATCGTAAGGCCAGTCTCTACACGAGCAAAAGTCCCAATGGGGAAAAGGAAGGGCGAAGAACAAAAGAAGAACTGAGAAAGAGTAGAGAAATGTGAGAAAATCTTACCCTCCCGCGAGCAGCACTTCCCTCTTGATCTTGGCCCTCTGGCGAGCGCTGATCTGCAGCGGCTTCCAGCGGTGATCCTCCCAGTAGCCCCACACGCCCTTCTTGAGCTCCTCGCCCCATCGCTTGAGCTTCTCCACGGGCATCTGTGGCGCCGGCATTGACGCTATGCGCTTCATCCACTCCGCTCGCCCGCCCCCCATTCTCTCTTACCAAGAATTAGGGTTTATCAGTTGTATGAAGGCAATGGCTGCTGCAGCAAGAAAGAACTCCAAACGCCATGTTTTTGTTCTTCTTTTCTCTTATCGTTTTTATCCAGGCCCAAAGAGGACTGTTTAATCAGATGTGTACGGTTTAACGAGCTCCCGAGCGCGTCCAGTTCTGGAGCTAGATTCCCTGGCCTCAAGCCGAGCAATTGTGAACTGGTTTGATCAAAACAATCTTGAGTACAAGATCGCCAAACTTTTGTCTTGAGTTGACGGCCTACAGTTGTTCCAGTCACCGAGTGATCCACTCTGTCTCGGTGGCCGCTGGGACGGGGCCCCATCGTCCCCATCGCCCGCCCCAATCGCCAGCGGATTGTGAAAGTTGTTGTGGACTGTGTCTTATTTGGGATCTGGGTGCTGCATGACTTACGCTCTTTCTCCTGCCTTGAGTTTTCTTTCCAGAATTTTTAAACATGGTTTCCCTAGCAATGGCTGTGATGGCATTGGCGTAAAGCTGTCTTGTAATTTGAAAAATGTTGTTAGGCTAGATCAACGGGAGTGTGATCACTTTGGGCTCCATTCTGGCTTATGTTGTACTGGGCATTGGGCCTCACAAGACGGTGGATCATCCTGGACGTTGAGTAGATTGCGATCTAGAGCTGGAGCAAAGTTTCACACCAAAAGCAGGGTGAGCTTGCTAGATTGTGAGCTTTGCCAGCTGTAAAAGGTCAAAGCGGCTATTATAGTGCGGCTATTTGCACCTCATTCAAATTTGAGAACCCAGCGGTGGGAAAGAAAGTTTTGGCTTTAATTTGATCTTAAATTAATAGTTAAAATCAGTATTCTTTGATGTTGATTTCCTGTATAAATAAATTGTTACATGTTGCATGTAGCACGCTTGGTTTGCTTAATAGTAGATCAAATAAAATTTATGTTTGTAATTTATAAACACAAGATTAATCTTATTGTATATCAACCATTAGATAATAAAATAAAAAAGAATATACTAGAAAGCGTTTAAGAAAGTTTATAAATTATAAATATAAAATTAATCTAAATGAATCACAACCATTAGATGTAGAATATCCTAGAATATTTAAGCATATTCTAGATATATCCACTCCAATCTCTTTACAGGTTTGCTTAACTTAAGCAAACCAAAAATAGGGAAAAGATAGTTTGTGAATTTAAGTTTTATATTTCTTACTTTTTTCCTCGCAGGCTTTGCTTTGCCAATAGCATTGTGGAAGCTCAAACAGATTTAGCAAGTTGGTTTGATCTTAAAGCAATAGTCTTGGCTCAAGGATTGATCACTCCCCTTGGACTTGGGATCTTGTGAAGTAAGATGCAGCTCCTGAGCCTGGTTGCAAGGAAGTTTAATAATGAGGTTCAAGCCTCTCTCATCTTATTCAAACAATTGAATACCTTTAGAGGCATTAATCTTATTATACATATGGTGGCAAAAGTTAAACATCAAAACCTAGCCTCTTCAAGAAACTGTGATTCAACTTAGTGCTTGCCACCAGATTTCATGAGTATCCAAGTTATAGATGAAAACATTTCCGTCTCCTCTAACAACAACACTAGTAGGCATAATGCAATTTGGTTGGGGCTTACAATACACTCCAGCTGCCCAAAAAACATTCCCATTGATGTCCTTAATAACCAAGTTTCCATCATGTTGTTGTATAGCATAGCATCCATCAGAAGGATGATAATTATGTTTGCTTACCCAAATTTCCTGATATTTCCTCTTTGTCATTAAGGCTAATTTACAGTCCATACGCAAAATCAACCTGTAAAGCCCATTCAATGAACTGATACCATTTCCTTGTAGAAGGTAAGATCCAGGTTCCTTGACTTGGCTCCCTATAAGAGAGTTTTCAAAACTCCAGCAGCTCCCTTGATCACTATCACTTTCATGGGTAACAATCATTGAGGAACCGTTTGCATATACATTGCGACCATCAATCACTGATGAATTTTTTACATAAGGTGAAATTCTTGCATATGAAGTGCTACCATTTATCACTGATGAATTCATGGCATGCAAACTACGATTATTG